ATAATCATGTAGCAGCACTTCCATGACACCTTCCAGCATAGGGATCAGTAGAGCTAGCTGCTACTGGGTGGGCAGCATTCTGATGAAAGACATGGCATAGATTCCTCTGTGCTACAGTCTATGACTCCTCTAATTGAATACAACCTATCTTCCTTCAAAGCAATCCTATCTAATAAAAGAGTAATATGCAAATTAACCATCATTCTGTGACAAAGATGGCAGTGCCCATAGAGGCTGGGCAGGATGCTGGCAGCGTCACCCTGGCAACGTGAGCCCAGCAGGCAATCGGGGCCCACAGGCAGCACCCAGCAGGGCTTTCTGGGCATCGCCACGGTGACTGGGGAGCAGGCAAGTGGGGCCCGCATACAGCACCCAGCAGGGCCTGTTGGGCAATGGCGGCAGCAACCTGCAAGCAGCACTCAGCAGGGCCTGCTGGGCAGTCACCATGGCGACCCGCGAGCAGGCAAAGGGGGCCCGCAGGCAGCACCCAGTAGGGCCTGCTTGCTCATCCCCGTGGTTGGAGCAGGCAGGCCCCACAGAGAGGAGAGAACCATGGGGAGTGGGCCCAAGCCATCAGTAACACATCACCTGAGGGTTCCTGAATTGGAGAGGGTGCAGGTCGGGCTGAGGGACCTCGCCACCTGCCCTCCCCCACCCACATTCACAAATTTCATGCACAAAGCCTCTAGCCTATATATAAAAGCCCAGCTAACAGAATGGTGGAATGACCAGAACAACCAGAATGATTGCTGGCTATGATGTGCACTGCGGCAGCCAACTGGCCTGATCGGGGGTGAGGCCAGCCATCCAACCACCCGTGGCCCCTCTCCCCTCTGCCGTCCCTGCCCCTGATTGCCCCCCCCACTCTCCCGAATTGGAGAGGGTGCAGGTAGGGCTGAGGGACCTCCCCGCCTTCCCTCCCCCACCCCCTGCACAAATTTCATGCACCAGGCCTCTAGCCTATATATAAAAGCCCAGCTAACAGAATGGTGGAATGACCAGAACGACCAGAATGATCGCTGGCTATGATGTGCACTGCGGCAGCCAACTGGCCTGATCGGGGCCCCGATTGGAGCACCTCCCCCCAGCCGGCCCCACCCTTGATCGGCCCCCAACACCCCGATCGGGGGTGGGGCTGGCTGGCCAACCACTCACGACCTCTCCCCCCCATCGGCCCAGCCAAGGGGCCCCCATCAGGTTGGGCCGACCAGACTCCACCCATGCACGAATTCGTGCACCAAGCCTCTAGTAGTAATTATAAACCCAGAACTTCCATTCTTATTGATCTCCTCTGTATTAAACTCTTGCTTATACTACTTGAACTCACTGAGACTTCATTTTAAAGTACTTCTGGCGATGCTGGGTTATGTGCTACAAGGTTACTATCAAATGACCACTCGCCTTTTAATTCCTGTGAACATGTACATTTTTCCTACCTGCCAAACTCAGGGAAACACTGTCTCTCATCAGAAGAGAGTTTTGAATATAGGTTAGTGTCTGGTTTGAGAGGTAATCTGTAGCCTTGACTAAAGGTATTCAATAAAATGCTTCTCCTTGAATCTTATTACTTTAGCAGAATTTATTCTAGATTCGACTTCTTACATTTGTCTTGTTACTTTTAGCCTTCTATATAGACTTTACATTCCAGATCTTAACCATTATCATTATTATTTCGATGATGCTGATGGTTGTGCTCTGCACAGTAACTTAGATAGGCATCATATATTTCCTAATTTCAGAAATGCACTTTCCTAGTCATTTCTATACATAATTGTAATAAATTAGTTCTAAGTTTTCTTGTGCCTATTTCAGCTTCTGAATGCTCAGCTTGGACTGAACTGATTCCCTTGATCACTCAATTAGATATGACATAATTTGTTAGCCATTTATAGTTTGGTCATTATCACATTTTCATTACACTATTTGATTAGTAGAATTCAGTAAAAGAAACAGAGAATGTTCAAGCTATGTTTTTAATCCTCACTCAAGGATATGTTTTTATTGAGTTTAGAGAGAGAGGAAGGGAGAGGGGGAGAGGGAGTTACATCTCTGTGAGAGAAACATCAATGTGAGAGACAGCATCGATCACTTTCCTCCTATATGTATCCTGACCCCTGACCCAGGATTGAATCCTCAACCTAGGAAGTGCCCTGACAGGGAATCGAGACTCAAACCAACTGAGCCACACTGGCCAGGGTCATTCTAGTTATTTTAATAGACGGACTTAGGTACTTAAGGAATTATTTAAAGAGAAGGCTCTAATCTGGGACTCTTTGAGTGATCACATCACAACTAATCCTCTAGGGCAGTGGTCAGCAAACTCATTAGTCAACAGAGCCAAATATCAACAGT